AAAGAATAAACAGAGGATCTTCAGAACTCATTTTTTCTGCGGGACAATCTACGGAGGCTAATGCCGCTAATTCATGCCACCAATGATCTCTTCCTTCCACCATACTTACGGCATTATTAGATCTCTGAAATACAATGACATTAAGAACGGACGGACAATTTACCAACGCATCATCAACGACTTTTTTTAAATCAATTACGTTGCCTCGTCTACTTACACCGTCTGAACAAATAACCGCTTTGGCTTTAGCATCATTAATTCGATCAGCAAGAGCAGTCGAAGAAAAACCACCAAATACAACACTGTGAACCGCTCCAACCCTTGCACAAGCCAAAAGCGCAATCATAAGTTGTGGAGACATTCCCATATAAATAGCTACACGATCTCCCTTTTCTATGCCTCTCCTTTTAAGCACGTTCGCAAATTTGCATACCTCACGATGAAGTTGTGAATAGGTATAAACTGCCTGATCCCCATGTTCTCCCTCAAAAATAATTGCAGCTTTATTTGCGCGCCAAGTTCCCACATGAACATCAAGAGCGTTGTAGCAAATATTTGTTTGTGCCCCAATAAACCACTGCGCATCGGGGTTTTTCCAATTCACCACTTTCTTCCAAGTCTTAAACCAAAAAAAATTCTTCGCAATATCACCCCAAAATTTATCGGGCGACTTTTCCGCAGCCTTGTACATCTTGTCGTATGCAACCATCGACGGAACATGCGACTTTTTTGAAAATTGAACCGATGCCTTAAAAATTCTTTTCTCTTTCAACACCGAATCCATACCCATATTTTCTTGTTGCTTTGCCATAGCTAATCGTCATTTATTTGTTTTTTGTTTATAAACTCAACCATAATCCTAAAAATTACTCAAAGATAAAAATTTATGTTGATTAAATAAAATGAAATACAAAATTTTCCTATTTGAACCAACAACGATTTACGCTTCTCTCCTCACACACAAAAAAAAACCTCCACACAAAACCAAACGGTTTTAATGAAAAAGGGATAATTTTATTTCAAGGCAAATTGTTTTAGATATTAATAGAAATTAAGATTTATGAGGAAGAAAACGATAAAAAGCAATTTAATGCACATTCCGCAGGCAGAATTTTTGCTTATGGCGGGTGAAACGTTGCAATGAGTTGAGCAAGACGTTATTTGCGAGTTGAGGTGGGTTATTGTTATTGAATGAAAAAGCGACTTCTTTAGAGGTCGCTTTTTTTGTTGGTAAAGAAAAAATTTAACAAATACGAATTAGGTGATTTTTGCTCACGATTTAAGCGTTAAAATTTAACTTCACTTTCACTATTAAACTTTTAACCATTCAGTTATGAAATTACTTTCAATAGGCATTCAAGATTTTGAAACATTACGAAAATCCAATAGAGTTTATGTTGATAAAACAGATTTGATCTTTAAGTTGATGCTCAATGAAGGAGTGTACTTTCTTTCACGCCCGCGACGCTTTGGAAAATCGCTCTTGCTTTCTACTATGGAACAACTTGCACTCGGCAGAAAAGATTTGTTCAAAGACTTGTGGATTGAAGACAAATGGGATTGGACAAGGAAATATCCTGTGATTAGAATTTCATTTACACAAGTTTCTTACCAAGAAAGCGGACTAAAAAAGGGACTCATTAATGCGTTGATTAACATTTTTAAGTCATTCCAACTCGTCCCTAACCAAACCGAAAATCTGAAAGAACTTTTTAATCAATTACTCAATGAAGTTCATGCAAAACACGGCAAAATCGTTCTGCTCATTGACGAATACGACAAACCTATCATTGACTTCTTAGAAGAAAAGCACATTGAAACCGCAACAGAAAATCAAGCCATCATGAAAAATTTTTATTCATGCTTGAAAGACAACGGGCATTTCATTCACACGCTTTTGATTACGGGCATTTCAAAGTTTCCTCGCGTTTCCATTTTTTCAGAACTCAACCACTTAACTGATTTAACCCTGCATCCCAATTACGTTAATTTATTAGGTTACACCCAAGAGGAGTTAGAAAAGTACTTTGACGAACATCTTGATTTTTATCTCACAAAACATAACAAAGAAACAAAACAAGGGCTTTTAGATAAAATTAGATTGTGGTACAATGGCTTTTCTTGGGACGGAGAAAACAGAGTTTACAACCCGTTCAGCATTTTGAATTTCTTTGATACGAATCAATTTGCCAATTATTGGTTTGTAAGCGGAACGCCCACATTCCTATTGCGACTTATGTTTGAAAAGAAAAATTACGAATTTGAAAACGTCAGTTTTAACGTCAACAGCAATAACATTTATGATATTCATAAGTTGGAACTCATTCCGATTCTTTTTCAAACGGGGTATTTAACGATTGTTGAAGCAAAGGACAATCCATTTAGTGAAATGAAAGATTATGTTCTTAATTATCCAAATAAAGAAGTGCGAGATAGTTTTTATGATTTTATCATCAATTCAATTTGTTTTACCGATGGAGCTGATAAAAAATTTATTGAAAGAATATCGCATGGCTTCATGGGAAATAATTTAGATGAGGTGGAAGAGGTGATTGATGAAATGTTTAAGGACGTTCCTCATGATTTTTATGTTAAACAGGAAGTGGTGTTGCATTGTTTATTGCATATTGTTTTTACGTACGTTGGGTTGCAAATTCAAAGTGAGGTGCATACACAAAAAGGCAGATTAGATGCCATTGTGGAAACAAAATCGCATGTTTATATTTTTGAATTTAAGATAAACAAGACTGTGAACGAAGCAATCAAACAAATTCGTCAAAAAGAATACGGCTTAAAATATGCCAAAACCAAAAAGCAACTCATCGGTATTGGTGCAAACTATTCAACGAAGAAACGATGTTTTGATAAGTGGAAACGGATTGTGATTATCAAATAAAATTTTCCTACTCATTCCAACCTAATGTAGCAGGTCGCTTTTTTTGGTAGGGTTTGATTTTGAAAAGATGGTTAATTTTGCGGAAAAATAAATGTGATTTTTAAAATATAACGATATGGGATTAATTAGGGCAAATATTGAATTGGTTAACATAGTAGATGTGCAAATGGTGGCAAAAAAATACTTAAATCAAAATGAAATTAGATCGTTAAAAGTAAATTGTTTGGTGGATAGTGGAGCATATATGCTTGCAATCAACGAAGTCGTTAAAGAACAACTAGGATTGCTAAAAATAGGGATCAAACTTGCAATCTTAGCAAATGGAGAAAAAATACAATTGGATGTCGTAGGTCCTGTTCAGGTGATTTTTGAAAATCGAGAAACTGTTTGCGAAGCTTTAGTTTTACCTGGAAATAATGAAGTGTTGTTAGGTGCCATTCCTATGGAGGGTATGGATGTTGTCATCAATCCACTCCAACAAACCATGACCGTCAACCCTGAAAATCCAGATATAGCTACTTTGAGCTTAAAACGAATTTAACAACGGCGGAACAGAAGGCAGCCCTACCACGATTGAAGTTTAAGATAAACAAGACTGTGAACGAAGCAATCAAACAAATTCGTCAAAAGGAATACGGCTTAAAATATGCCAAAACCAAAAGCAACTCATCGGTATTGGTGCAAACTATTCAACCAATTAATGCTTTGATAAGTGGAAACGGATTGTGATTATCAAATAAAATTTTATTCAATTAACACCGTCTTTACAGACAAAGCAAGCGTGGTTGGTCTTTTTTTTTGTGCAAAGCAGGTCGGGAATGGGTTAATATCACTTGGCAACGAGGTATTGCCAATCAGCAAAGGAGTAATGCCAACTGGCGAAACGAATTTGCCAACTGGCGAAATGATTTAAGCATCTGCTGAAATGATTTAAGCATCTGCTGAAATGATAAAAACTTTGTATTTTTGATAATATTGAAACAATTAAACCATACAGATTATGCGAAAACATAGCATTAACATTAGCTTTAAGAATGAGACATTGGCAGATTTTCTGCATTTAGCGGGTCAGGCTGTGCAAGGGTTTAAGTTGAGTAAGACTTTATTTGCAAGTTGAGTGTAAGGGTTTATATTTTACTAACATATGAAAAGCGAAGGATCCCACGATGATTTCGTGGGGTTCTTTGTTTTTGTAGCGTCTTTATAGGATGTTTGTCGTGGGAGAGGGGCATTTGTTTGAAAAAGGGATAAATTGTTGGGGGAATATTTTTGAGGCAAAAAATAAGATAGAAAGTGTTTCATTTATCATTCAAGAGTTCTTCCCCCGTCAACCTTAATTGTAGTGCCCGTGATATAGTCTGCACGGGCTAAGAAAAGCACGGCATTAGCAATATCTTCTACGTTTCCCATTCGTCTTAATGGGATTTTATGTATTTGTTCGGCGGTTTTGTCATCTATTGTGGAGGGCAAAATAGCACCGGGTGCGATGGCATTAACGAGGATATTAGGAGCAAATTCTTTGGCAAAAGATTTGACAAGGTACTCGGCTCCGATTTTAGAAATAACATAAGGGGTGAATTTTGACCAAATCAATTCTGTGGCTATATCCGTGAGAACGATAATTCGTGATGTTTTGCCTGAGGATATCATTTTTTTTGCGGTGTGTTGCATAATAAAAAAAGTGCTTTTAAGATTAACATCTAAGATGTAGTTCCAGTCTTTTTCGTGTGTGTTCAAGATGGGTGTGCAGAAGAATGCCGATGCGTTTAGTATCAGCAAGTCTAAACGGGAGTATTTTTCAAAAAGGGCATCTATTATTTTGTACATTTTTGGCAAATTTGTGAGTTCAGCTTTTTCCATAGCCGCAGTGCTGTTGTAGGTTTTTAGTTCGTGGAGGGTGCGCTCTGCTTCTGCTTTTGAGTGGTTGTAGGTATATGTAACCGTGTATCCATTTTTTGCCAAAGCCAAAGCGATTCCTTTTCCGATTCTTACCGCTCCTCCTGTAATGAGACAGTTTTTCATGTTTGCATATTGTTAAGAGTACATCTAATGGATTGGTACTTGAAAATACTAAACTATGATTTATTTTTGGGAACGTTTTAAATGAGGAGTGGCCAAATGGTAAGGCTCCTGACTCTGGATCAGGCGATTGTAGGTTCGAGTCCTGCCTCCTCAACGAGTATTTTAGCATGTTAGTGTAAATGAATAATTCTATGATGGTATGAAAAATGTTGTTGATATTACGATTGTGGGTGCTGGTCCGACGGGGCTATATGCGGCGTTTTATGCGGGCTTACGCGGGATGACTGTAAGATTAGTGGATGCGCTTCCTGAAGTGGGTGGGCAACTTACGGCACTTTATCCTAAAAAGAATATTTATGACGTTGCAGGGTTTCCGGCGGTTGTTTCGGAGGATCTTGTCAAAAATCTGTATAGTCAGGCGTTGCAGTACCACCCTGATGTTTTGACGGAATGTAAGATCACGTCTATTGTTAATGAAGAGGGTGTGATTAAATTAAGCAATGAGGCGGGGGCGTTATTTTTTTCAAAAGCGGTTCTTATTGCATGTGGAGTAGGTGCTTTTACACCACGTCGTCTTGCGAACCCGAACTTTGTAAATTGGGAAAACAAAGGGCTATATTACTTTGTGAAAGATCCGAAGGATTTTTATGGAAAGAAGGTGCTTATTATTGGGGGTGGTGATTCGGCAATGGATTGGGCAATGGCATTAGCTGCTCACGCTGATTTAACCTTGATTCATAGAAGAGATAAGTTTATTGCCCACGAAGATAGTATCACTAAGGTTTTTTCGTTTGGGTTTCCTATTAAAACCTTTTTTGAAATTGATGATATTCGTCAGTCCTCACAAGGTTCTTTTAAAGAAGTTTCCATTAAAAATACCAAGACAAAAGAAAAAGAAACCTTACTTGTTGATGCTGTACTCTGTAATTTGGGCTTTGTTACCAATTTAGGACCAATAAAGGATTGGGGGTTAGAACTAAAAGGAAACGGTATTGTGGTAGATTCCTTTATGCGAACCAATCTTAAGGGGGTATACGCGGCGGGTGACATAACTTCCCACAGTAGTAAGTTAAAGTTAATCGCGACAGGATTTGGAGAATCGGCAATTGCAGTTAATCATGCCAAAGTGCTTATTGACCCTTCATCTTCTTTTTTCCCTGGTCATAGTAGCAATAAAGATGAGAACGAGAAAGAGGGAAAAAACTCTGAATAACTAAACAGGAATGAGTATTAGAAATTTTTGCATCATTGCCCACATTGACCATGGAAAATCCACCCTTGCAGATCGTTTGTTAGAATTTACAGGCACGGTAAGTGAAAGAGAGAAACAGGATCAAATTTTAGATGATTTGGACTTGGAAAGGGAACGGGGTATCACGATTAAAAGTCATGCTATACAAATGGCGTATCGCTCAAAGCATGACGGTTTGGACTATATTTTGAATTTGATAGATACTCCGGGTCATGTTGATTTTGCTTATGAAGTATCTCGGTCTCTTGCAGCTTGTGAGGGTGCGTTGCTTTTAGTTGATGCGTCACAAGGGGTAGAAGCCCAAACCATAGCCAATTTATATTTAGCAGTAGAGGCGGGTTTGGAAATTATTCCTATCGTTACTAAGGTAGATCTTCCTTCCGCAGATCCCGAGCGAATAAAGGGGCAGATAGTTGATTTAATTGGAGGACGCAAAGAAGATATTTTACTCGCATCAGCTAAGGCAAAAATTGGGATTCAAGAGATATTAGAGGCAGTTATTAGTCGTATTCCACCTCCTGTCGCAGACGTATCTAAACCACTTCGTGCTTTGATCTTTGATTCGTATTTTGACGAGTACCGAGGTGCTGTTGCGTTTATTCGATTAATGGAGGGAACATTAAAAAAGGGTGATAAAATCAAGTTTTTTGCAAATGAAAAGTCATTTACTGCGGAGGAAATTGGCATACTTAAATTAAAGCGAGAACAATGCTCCGAACTTAGGGCTGGAAATGTCGGATACTTAATTTGTTCTATAAAGGATGTTAAGGACACAAAGGTTGGCGACACGGTCACTCACTTGATTAAACCCGCTTCGGAACGTTTGCCTGGCTATAAAGAGGCAAAGCCAATGGTTTTTAGCGGTATTTACCCAACAATGACAGAGGATTTTGAGACGTTACGGGAAGCATTAGAAAAACTTGCTCTTAATGATGCCTCACTTTCTTATGTTCCAGAAAGTTCAGTTGCATTAGGATTTGGTTTTCGCTGTGGTTTTCTTGGATTGTTACACATGGAAATTATTCAAGAACGATTAGAACGAGAATATGGCATGAATATCATCACGACGGCTCCCAATGTCGAATACCAGGTTTTTACCACAGCGAGAGATACCGTTATTGTAGATAATCCCTCAAAAATGCCAGATGCTGGTAAGATTGATCGTATCGAAGAACCTTATATTTGTGCTCAAATCATAACAACCCATGAGTTTATTGGAGGCATAATGACGATTTCTATGGATAGACGTGGTGAATATAAGGATACAAAGTATATTGATAGCACGAGGGCAGTTTTAACCATTGAGTTTCCTTTGGCAGAAATTATTTTTGATTTTTATGATAAACTAAAGTCTATTTCTAAGGGCTACGCCTCAATGGATTACGAAGCGGTTGGTTATAGGGAAAGTGATTTGATTAAGCTGGATATTTTACTCAATGGCGAAAGTGTAGATGCTTTGTCTATGATTGTTCATAGGTCAAAAAGCTATGAATGGGGGAAAAAATACTGCTCAAAGCTAAAGGAACAAATTCCGCGTCAAATGTTTGAAGTTGCCATTCAGGCATCCATTGGGAGTCGCGTTATTTCACGAGAAACAATCAGTGCCATGAGAAAAAATGTTACAGCAAAATGTTACGGAGGTGATATTTCTCGGAAGAGAAAGTTACTGGAGAAACAAAAAGAGGGTAAGAAAAGAATGAAGAATGTCGGACGGGTTGAAGTACCCCAAGAAGCATTTCTGGCTGTCCTCAGCATTAACGATGACTAATTGTGATATTTTATGAAAAAAATTAAATCAAAAGGACGTGAATGGTTAGAGATTATTATTTTTTCGTTGGCTGTCGTTTTACCCGTCCGCGCATTTATAGTTGAAGCATTTCAAATTCCTACTGGATCTATGGAGAAAACACTATTAATTGGAGATTTTTTGTTTGTTAATAAAATGATTTATGGTGCGAAGATTCCGTTTACTGATTATCGTTTGCCAGGCTATAGAAACGTTCAACTTGGAGATATTATCGTGTTTGTTTATCCAAAAGATAATTCTCTGAATTACGTTAAGCGATGTGTAGGAATGCCAGGATCCACTCTTGAAATTAGAGAAAAAAAAGTGTATGTGGACCGTGTAGAATACCCTTTGCCACCCACAGGTTTATTTACTGACGGCGTTATTCCACAATCCGAACGAGATGACAGAATATTCCCCAAGCATTCTAATTACAACAGAGATTTTTATGGACCTATTACGATTCCCAAGAAATCCGATATCATTGAACTAAACGCTTCAAACTATTATCTTTACAAAGATGTTTTGGAATATGAAGGGTACAAGCCTTCAATTATGGGTAGTACTGTTTATTTGAATGGAGTTCAGGCGGGGCGTGTGGTTCTTTCACAAAATTATTATTTTGGCTTGGGTGACAGCCGTGATAATAGTGAGGACAGTCGCTATTGGGGATTTATCCCAGAATTAAATATGATCGGGTCACCATTGTTACTTTATTGGTCATGGGATCCAAATATTAGTATTTTCAATTTTTTGAAAAAGTTGCTTCAATAAGATGGAACAGGGTTGGAAAGTTGTTATGGTGAAACTTTTATTTTATTTTTTGTTAGTTAGTCTTTTTTCACGAAGCCTTTTAGCTCAGGAAGGATCTCTTTATTCAGGTGTCGGATTGGGTGATTTTAACACCGTTACATCACCTTTTTCACTTGGAATGTCGGGAGTTTCAATAGGTGTCCCAAACCAGTCTTATGTCAACCTATCGAACCCTGCTATGCAGTCCGCAACTGCAAGAACAGTTGTCTCTGCAAGCTTTTCTTATGCAGGTTATTTTCAACAGACACGTGAATCCTATGCCTATAATTCAAACGGTCGTATTTCCAATTTTTCAATTCTAATTCCAATATGGAAATTCGCTATTTCCGCATCTTATTTACCACTTTCAAATTCCAGTTACAATTTTAAGGAAGTTGTTTCATTTTCAAAAGATGGGTTTTATCCCGTTTCCTATTCGTTTCAATACTCGGGTATAGGGGGTTTGATTAAGATACCCGTTGCACTTTCCGTTACTTTTTTTGAATCGCCAGAGTCAGGTGCATTACGATTAGGTGGGTCTCTTGATATTTATACAGGTTCTTTTGAAAAAATAAACTACAACACACCTATTAGCTCAACCTATTCGTCTAAATACTCTATAATTACAAAAACGAGTTTTGATACCTTTGGGGGATATGGTTCAACCATAGGATTGGGCTATACAACTCCAAGCAGTATTTTTTCAGACCATGATTCCTTCACGTTTGGGTTTGTTGTTGAAATACCAACCTCACTTGTTGGAAACAGAACTCAATACTCCGATTATACAACTATTGTTACTAACAATGTATTAGATGGTAGCGGTCGGAGAACGGTTAAGATATATGATACAACCAAGATTATATCAAATGCCGAAACTACCATTCCACTTAAACTCGGTGTAGGGATTTCATATTCATCTGTACATCTTTTGATAGCAGGTGATTTTTTCTTTCAGGACTGGACAGAAACGAAGTATTTAGGCTCTGTTTTATTCAATTTAACAACATCATATAAAATAAATTTTGGGGCATCTTACACTGTTGATCCTCGTATCGAGGCAAACTTCTTTCTGAAATGGATTTACTCGGTTGGTTTTTATTACCACAAAACACCTTACACAATTTTAAATATAGATATTGTTGAATATGGAACAAGTTTGGGAATTTCTATTCCTATGGGAAGCAGCCCTTTTTCAAAGTTTAATTTTTCAATTAATTATGGACGGAGGGGAACTTTGGAAAACAAACTTATTGTTGAAGACATTCTTAAACTGGAACTTGGTGTTAGTATAGCAGAAATTTGGTTTAATACACGTTTCTAA